CATATACATATACATATACATATACATATACATATACATATACATATGCCTCACTCTTGGCTGCCCCCTTGTGGACTCGGCCTGCTAATTTAGCAGCCAGGATTATATGTGGAAATTCAGGATGTTGCTGGGGTTTTCTGGTTACTTTGATCTTTCTACAGCTAGCTCATCCTCATCACAGCCAAGAGAAGAAAGAGCCCTGTGGACACTGGCCTTGGGACAGTCCTCAGAGGTAGGTCTCCTGAGCTCTAGTTCTCCCAGAAGCCTGGCCTTGCTTAGCCAGAGGGGCTGGAGAATGCCTAGCCCACTCCCCATGACGCCTGAAGCTCTGGCTCCCACCAGTGTGGCTGACCTTGCAATGCAGACCCTGGTTCCACATAGAAGTCTCTTCCAGGCGTTCAAAAAGCCTCATTTTCCACACTCCAAAGTAAAGCAGTTTCTAAATGCTGCTGAACCCCTGAATAATAGTGTATATTTCACCTTTTATCTTCATCTTGGGGGCGGGGCATTTTAAAGTTGTACTTAAAGTTGAACTTGCCCCTGTAGCTTGGGGCATGTAACATACACTCCCTTGGTGGCTTCATTAATTTCAGATCACACTCTCAACCCATGCCTCTGGGGGGAAAATCCAAACTGAAACCCAAAGAAAGAAGCCAGCAGAACCCATCCCAGTGGCTCACCACCTCCTCTGGCCTGACATAGGCCTCCCAGTCTAGCCCAGTAACCTTCCTGGTCCCCAGGGCCACTCACAGGGGATCTTGTTGATCTCGTTGAAGAATTTCTCCTTCAGCTTGGCAAACATGTCTTCTTGGCTCTCCCCGGTGCCCGTGCTCTCTGTAGAGTTGTCGGCAGGTGCCACTGGTGCGAGGGGCATTGTGGCAGTGGTGGTGGCCGGAGCCACAATGGGCTCCTGGTTCCTCTTGAAGATGTTTCTCATGGTGGCAGAGGGGAGAGCTGTGGGTGAGAGGAAGGGAACAGGGTAAATATCCCAGAAGCTCAGCACAAAGGATCAGGAACTGCTTCCCAGCTAAAGGCAAAGGACACTTCTCCCTCTGTGGCACAGAGGTGCTGAGCTGAGTGTTCACAATGTGCAGAAAGGCAGTGCGGACGTTCTCGGGACTGTGGCTGGTACCTGCTGTACGTGAGCCGCTAAATCCAAACAATCCGGGACTCTTTTGTTGTGCTTGTTTCTTTTGTTTACATTCTTCTCACTTAACAGCTGGGGAAACAGGCTCAGAGATTAAACTGTCCTGAGGCCCCCCAGCTGCCAGTGGGAACCCAGCCTGACAGAATCTGCCTGGCTCCGAAGCCAATGCTGCTTTCCTGTGTCGCTCTCATCTACCCGCCCCCAGCTCTAGGAAGGAGCAAGACTCTCAATGAGGTCCACCTCTGTGCTCCCTGACTTCCACGGAATGGCTCAGCCAGCACCATGACACAAAAACGCTCCCAGTCCCTTCCCTGTCCCTCCAGCCCTTGCTCTGGATCTTTTCAGATCCACATCTCTAGCCCTGCTCCTCCCAACAGCCCTAGAGCAGAGAGGTAGCCTTCACTGAAGTTGGGAAACCAGAGGAGAGGGAGACAAAAGGCAGAGGCAGAGATGTGGGGGGACCCAACTATCCCACCAACCAGAGAACTAAGACCCTTGGCGTACTTTGTGCCTGTATCCATTCTGTCTTTCGTGTCTAGACTATACCATACGTAAGTTGGCATTCTGCTTTATATTTTCCTTTTTGAGTCCATTTTGTCTTCATCATTAAGTGGCTAAATAGTCCCCTGCTGTACATGGCGATACCGTGAGGTTTTCACTCCATTAGTAACAGAGCTTCCAGTGCTGTGTGGCTGGAGGTAGTGTCAAATGGTAGCACTTGCTTAGAGTGTGCTTGCCCAAGTTCTGTACTCAGCACCACTATACAGACGCACACATGCGTGTGTGTGTAATATATAGGTATATATATATATCATATACATATCATATAACTATGCATGACATGTATGTTATATATACTATGCATATATGTGTAGCTATAACCACATATTTATACACACACATCTATAGCAAGATGAGCATAAACTCTGGTCTTCAGTTAAAGCTGTGCTCTGACGAGCTCCCAGACTCTCCCCTGCTCTCTGTGAGCTCTCTGACACTATTCTCCTTCTCAAAGGGTTGTGCGTCTTCAACTGATGTCCTGACAGGACAGGACTCTGCTGTGTTCACACTAGCTGCTTCTGTGTCACATACACACATTCCTGAGATACGCAGTCTTGACATCTGTCTTGTTTGCTTTTCCTGTTTGTCATTATGACCTGCATTTCCCTACTGTCTGATGGTCAGCTGGGCACCACCCATCAGCCATTAGATGATTATTTATTCATTCATTTATTTATTTATGTAACTGTCTTCAGACACACCAGAAGAGGGCATCGGATCCCATTACAGATGATTGTGAGCCACCATGTGGTTACTGGGAATTGAACCCAGGACCTCTGGAAGAGCAGTCAGTGCTCTTAACTTATGAGCCATCTCTCCAGCCCTGATTATTTTCTTTAGGAAAATGTCTATTCAAATCCTTTACCAATTAAAAAATCATTTTATTTTTATTGGGCAGGGCCCACGTGTGCCACCGTGTAACTGCGGAGATCAGAGGGCAGCGTGAGGAATCTATTCTCTGCTTTTGGGTATTTGTCTTTTTATAGTTGAATCGTTACATATTCTAGATTTCAGCTTCCTGTCAGATAGAGAGTTATGGTCTGACAGATTACATTCCCTACCTGCACTGCTGCAAGAGACAGCAGCAGTGTCTCTACCCCACCAAGAACAAGGGGAACGTTAAACACATGATTTACAAAATCCATTCTTTAGCCTTAGGGTTGTCTTTCTATTTTTTTTATTTTTATGAAGTGCTTTAAAATACAAAAGTCTTTAATTTTGATGAAGTCTATTTCTTTGATTGCTTGCTTTCAGGGGTGTGGCTAAGAGCCAGTCATACAGCTAATGTCACCAAGATTTATCCTCGACTTTCAATTGTAAATTTAGCTCTTGCATTAAGATCTACAGCTGCATTGAGTGGTGGGTATCTGTGATGTGGAAGGAAGGGGTCATGTGACTGTCCCTTTGACACAGCAAGCGGCATCATTCTGGCCACATGTAACAGAGCAGAGCATGCTTGAGAAATGCCCATAATACACCAATATTAGAAAGGCAGGTGCTGTGTAAATGCCCTAAATACGCGACACTGGACTGAGCATCTGTCTTCCTAAACCACTAGCCTGCTTCCATCTTTAGAGGAGCCTTTTTCCTCTCTTAATAAACTGGCTCTATTTCTATTTCTATATGTCCCTTGTCTGATTTATTGTTCTGGGACACAAGATCCTGGAAGTCTCAGCAGGTGATCCCAGGACTCAGATCTGCACCTGAATCAGCTGGCAAGCCAGCCAGGAGGTGAGATAGGCACTTACTTCTTCCTTCCTTCTTTGCCCAGAGCACCCAGAAGTGGGCAAGCTCCCACAGACAGGTAGTGTGGGGGCACCCTTCCCTTCCTGACTTTTTCTCATAGCCCACATGGCCAAGAGCCAATGATGTGCCTGGTCCTCCTCGCTCCTCCTCCTGGGTTGTGATGCATGCACTGTCTGACCGTAGAGTAGAGAGGGGTTTCAGATTGGCTGAATCTGGGGAATTCATGGAGTTGGCCACTGACCACATGGTCACTGATCACATGGGTGAGCAAATACAGGACAGTCATTCTGGTGCTAATGAGACCATACCACACTCACACTTTCCTGTGCTGTTGGCAGTCACTCAGTCTCTTCCATTCTTCCTCCCTCCCACCTTCCCCAGCACCCACCAAGATGACAGGAATGGCGGGCAGGGCTCTAGACAGGGTACTACAGTGGCTCTTACCCAGCCTCTTTCCCACAGACATGGTCCCCCCAGACACCCGCACACACTCTGTCTCCCTTAGGGTCCTAAAGCCAGCCGGCTTGACATGCTGACTCCCAGGGAACTCTTAGTTAACCGTGCCTGCCCGAATCACTACATCAATGCTTTGTTTATTTCTTCATTATACCCTAACCGCATAAAATTCCTCTGTGTTCCTTTACTGCAGATTATCCCCAAGAATACTGAGATAATTCCCCAGGTGACAAGACAGGCTTGGGAGTATGAGGTCCAAAGGAGGTGGGGAGAGGAGGTGGGGAGAGGAGGTGGGGAGAGGAGGTGGGGAGAGCTACCCATTTGCTCTTTTAACCTCAATGTCAATTTAAAACTAAATAATAATAAAGCCAAAGCCGTTCTTAAAACTCAGTGTCTTCTCTGAGAGAGCAGCCCAATAGTCTGAGAATTTTATTGGCTGCTCCCCACTTCTTGAGAGAATTATCTTAATTCACCAAGAGAAAAGAAATCACCCCCCAGGTGTCACAGCAGGCACTGGACCACAGGACTCAGTTCTGAGAGAGGCAACCTAAGAGATGGGTTCTGACTCTGACTGGGGAGCAAGTAAGAGGAGAAGAGCTGATAGATCCAACCCAGAGCCTGGAGTCCTTCTGTGGCCGCTCTCAGACCTGCCCTGGGATGCCTGGGCAACATGTGATGGAAGAGCGCTCTCAGCCATCAGATGTCCTTAAGGCCTTGGAATGGACACGAGGAATGCCTCTCCAGAGGCCCCAATGCTCGTCTCTTCACCTAACCCTGTCCCTTGGATGCCGTGGGACTCATCAGACTCAAGTGTTGGAATAAGGTTTATCCTGAAAACATGAAGGGAACGGGAATGGAACTGTTTTTTTTTTTTTTTCCTGTAATCCTCTCTGGCCTCAGTACAAACTGGGTGATGGGGAAGATCAGATAAAGACAGGAAATTAAACATCCCCCTGCAGCTGGACAGGTTTGGTAAGAACAGACAGAGGCTATGAAGCCTCTCGTGACTCTCTGTGAGCACAGGGGGAGATGCAAAGGGAAAGGGTGACCTCTGCAAAGGGAAAAGGTAACCTCTGACGGCCTACACATGTCCCGCTAGTGTCCGAAGCCCACTTTTAAAACAAATGATGGGCAACAGGACTCAGGTCACAAGTTCTGTTCCACTCTGCAGAGCTCCAGCCCGCCTCCATATCCTCTTATCCAGTCCATCTTACCTGGGAAGGAAGGAGAAGGACTGTGGGACACAGCAGAGAGAGGAGGACTGTGGGACACAGCAGAGGGAGGACTGTGAGATACAGCAGAAGGGGGTGGACTGTAGGACACCCAGGAGAGGGAGGAGGACAGTGGGACACAACAGAGGGAGGACTTGTCACACAACAGAGGGAGGACTGTGGGACACAGCAGAGGGAGGAAGACTATAGGACACAAGGCAGAGAGAAGAGGCCTGTGGGACACAGAAGAGGGAGGAGGCCTGTGGGACACAGAAGAGGGAGGAGGACTGTGGGACACAGCAGAGGGAGGACTGTAGGACACAGCAGAGGGAGGACTGTGGGACACAACAGAGGGAGGACTGTGGGACATAGCAGAGGGAGGAAGACTATAGAACACAAGGCAGAGGGAAGAGGCCTGTGGGACACAGAAGAGGGAGGAGGACTGTGGGACACAGCAGAGGGAGGACTGTGGGGCACAGCAGAGGGAGGACTGTGGGGCACAGCAGAGGGAGGACTGTGGGACACACAGCATAGTTACCATCCTCCATCCCTCTTTTACCTACAGCTCTTCCCTTAGTGTCTGGACACTGCATGATTAGAGTCCATGCTCCTTCAGTCATGGAATTTCAGCCATACAAGAAAGAAGTCGGGGTGCTCTCTAAAAGCTCCCCAGAACATGACTAGGAACCAGTACACACAAACTGCCATGCCTCAGTCTGTATTCTAGCTTGATTGTCTCTGGCCTTGTGGGGACTTAGAAGACTCTTGCCTTCCTCCTCTTGCTCTCCCAGGGGTACAACTGCATTCCTCAGGCCA